CAGGAGCAGAAGGAACAACTAAATTGCAGGGAATAAAAAAAATCTAAGCAGAAAACTCTGACCTTGATGTGATATTTATCCATAAATTCAAACATTACATAAGTGTCCACCAGATACTATATGCCTTGCTAGCAAGAGAGGATAAAATGAACAAAACACTACACTTAATTTCAGGAGTTTAGGAAGACACATTAAATCTGTATTCCGCTAAGTCCGAGAGGCACCCAGTGTAATAAGGCAATGCTTAGGCATGTGAGGATGCTAAAAGTGATGTAAGGCTACCAGAAATCAACCATATATTCCACGTGTATTTCCCAATTTTGCCTAAAGCCAGGTCTGCTACTCCACTTCCACTAAGGTAGTTTCCTATCTCTTTTAAAGAAATATAAGGACTCTCCGGGTTTGAGAGTTCTCATAAGATTCGTTTCCCCCAAATAGTTTAGAAGTAATGAATAAAGAAGTGGAAGCAATGTTCATTTGAATGTCTAGCAGTAAAAGGAAGGAGAAAGGGTAATATATAATGATACAGACTGAGAGCTATGCTCATGTTCTTTTTCAGGAGCTTTGCAGAATTTGTTTTCTGTCATTTAAGATGGGGATAAAAATTCTTGTTCAATTATGAAGCTGCATATAATCCAGTGATATAATCAATATGAAAAGCTTTAAAATTATAACCCATTATACAAATTTAAGTTGATTTTATTATTATGTTTGTGGTCAAAAGAGATGGAGCCAATAAATAAATAGATACCAAGAAGGTGTTAACATTATTAAGAAGGCAGAGTAGAAGGAAAAAGTGGAGATTAACAGAAAGATTGAAGTAGAGATAAAGATAACTGAGCATAATTCCATCCACAACTGACTAACATTTTCTCTGACGAAGTGGAATATGACATCATATATAGAAAATGAGAAGGAGAAATAGAACTTAGGCTGGACTGTGTGTTACAGAATCAACAAGAGAACAAAATGGTCAAACAGCACTGAAGGTCAAATTGAAGCTAGAAAGGATATATTTATAAAGGCCCAGGTAAAATGGGTTCTATAAATCTTTCCAGAAATACTCTGCTGTTACTAGATGTATGTCCATTAATTTATTCATACACTGATTACACACGGCATCATTGATTTTTCAACCTTCACTCCCAAAGCCCCTGCAACGGACTGAATTTTATCTCCCTAAAATTCAGATGTTGAAGCCCTAACTCCCACTCGACTACATTTGGAGTAAGGAATTAAGGTTAAATGAGGTCATATAGGTGAGGACCAAATCTGAAAGGATTACTGTTCTTTGACACCGGAGTTTGCATTCTCGCACACCCTCGGTCTCTCTGCCATGTGAGGACAGGTGAAAAGGCAGCTGTCTGCAAACTCGGTAGAGAGCTCTCACCAGGTACCAAACCGGCTGGCACCCCGATCTTGTGCTTCCCAGCCTCCAGAACTGTGAGAAAATAAATTTCTCTTAAGTCACCCAGTCTATGGGTATTTATTATGGTAGCCCAAACTAAGGCCTCATTTAAAAACAAATATTTTGTATTGCCTTCTTTTATATCTTGAAATGAAATGTATTAAAAATCAACAAATTGTCTTAACTGTAGTAAAAAGAGAAATTAATGGAACATGACCTAAAATATGTACTTCAATACATAAATGCTCAAGTATGACTACTCTAGAAAACATAATGGATGCTTGCACTCACATAAATAAGTTTGGAGTTTTAAAATGTAAGAAGATCATAAGTCATTCCATACAAGAAAACCAGGAAAATAAATAAGCTGCCATATACTTCATCACAGTGTAATACTACACCGTATATTTTTAACAAAGTAAAGTATAAGCTTTATAATATACTTGTATTCCTATAATATATGATGTATTTCAAAACAATGTAAAGGTACTCTGTGTTTTATGTAGAGCTAGATTTGTTCTAATAATTATGAACATGTTTTTCGCCTCCATTATGGTTGGTGAGACAGCTGAAAGCCACGAGGGACATAAGAATTCCTCACTGTTTGGCATTGTCCCACTATTCCAGAATATCTAACATCCCTGATCATTAAATATCAAGAGTACTTCCCCTAAATGACTGCAATAATGGTACCTGTTAATGTCTAAAATGCCACCTTGAGAGTGGTACAATCTCCACTGAGAACCCATGTACTAAATGAATGCCTATGACACAGGCATATGGAACTACATACATTGGAGAGAAGAAGGCAATGATTCGGGGGAGTAATGGTAAAACAGAAAAGAAGCAGTGAAAAGAATACAAGCATTTATGAGAACAGCTGGTTATCAGGCATCCAGGGTAAAGAGAGTTGAGTTTGGCCAAAGAATAGATAATGATCAAACAACTACAAATCTTAAAAAGGGAGGCAGTAGATATGATAGATAAGGAGAAGCAGGAAAAATAGAAAAGTAAGGATGTTAAAAAGCCATTATCCCTCAGTACGCACCCTCCATTCAAACGAAGCTAGTAGTTTCTCTATTCCCCAGGACACTGTACTTATTCCAAATCCCAGGACTTTTTTATATTGCCTATGCAAAATATATTTCTCAACAGAATTCAGGCAAAGTCCCACTTTTCCAGAAATTTTTTTGCAAGCACTCCCACCTTTATGACTTCTTTCCTTGTAGAAATCCTAGTGTTCTACTGCCTGAATATTTATTAACCAGCTACTATGTGCCTGTAAGAAGATCCTTTATTCTTTCCATAGAGAATATAGCAGTGTTCAATGCTATATATGCATTTCAATGAAAATCTACCCCTTGAATATAAAAATAATCCTGTGAGTTTACTTACCACCCACTGCCTTACAAGGATAGTATGAATGATCAACTTCTACTCTAACCCTAAAAGTGAAGAATCCAGAGATGAGAGTGGGAGAGAAATAAAGATGGGTAGAAGTTCAGTTCTTTCAAAGAATTCATGTGGAAAAGAGGATTGTAAATATATACACCTATCTTTAAATGGACCAGCCAACATAAAGCTAGATTATAGTCGCTTTAGGATAAAGATTAGTGTCCTATAAACTTTATCCCTGTCTCTCCATTCTGTATTTTTATATATTTGGTTTACTTGTTTTCTCTTAATAATCCACTCACACAGGGTGCCTGGGTGGCCCAGTTGGTTAAGCGTCCGACTCTTGGTTTCGGCCCAAGTTGTGATGGAGTTGGGCTCCACACTCAGTGCAGTCTGTTTGAGATTCTCTCTCCCTCTCCCTCTGCCCCTCCCACTGTTCTCTCTCTCTTAAATAAATCTTAAAAAAAAATTTGCTCACACAATACACATATATTAGGAATCCACACCATATATCAGATAATATGCTAGGTACTATCAATAAGCAAGATCAATAAGGTCCCTACCATCCTGGAACTTAGAGATTAGTAAAACAAGCAGATTTTAAACAAAGATGCAAATAAAGATGAAAATAAATATACGATTATAAATCGTGAAGCATAATTTGAAGGAAAGGTACAAAGACAGGCTTATCCCTTAGGTGGACCAACTAGGGTGGCTTCCCTGCAAGATAAGGAATATTGTGCTTTTTGACCTATGTGTGTGCACACACATATATATTACACACATCAGTGTGCTTGTACGTGTGTGTGTGTGTGTGTGTATTTGAAATACAGTCCACATAACAGGACAGGTCTGCACCAGGTGAATTATGCCAAACACACACTCCTCTAGCAGCAGCCTTAAACAAGGGCGCAACCATATACACTCACTGTACGAGGGACGGTTCCACCAATACAGATGCTGTACTCATAGCCCATACTAGCGGTTCTCAAATGCCAGTCCTCAAACACTAGATGGCAAGACAGCTGCACCAGAATCACTGGGAAAGGTGTTAAAAATGTAAAAATTTCCAGCCTCCATTCTCAACAATTTCAATTTAGTACCTGGAATGAATTTTTATAAAGTTCCACCTAGATGATTCTGATACCATTAGATTTGAGCCCTTAGTCATACAGTGCCTTGATTCATTACCTTAACTGTTCCATATTTCTTTTATCATGCTCAAAGCATGGCAAAGTACTTAAATTATGCTGTTCAGTGCCAGTAGACACAAAAGATTGTTTTCAAGTAAATAAGCAAAGGTATTATAAGGACAGCAATATTTTTTGTTTTTGTTTTGTTTTCTCAAATACAATGACACTCCTTATCAAAAAGCTTTCACTTAGGAATAGAAAAGACAAACTCTGAGGTGATGCTTCTCAAAATGGAGAACACTAACTACTAGTGGTATGGCAGATAATAGGTACCCAAAGTGATTTTAGATGATACACAGGATTATTTTACATGGCACATGGACATATACTAAATAACACTGAGTTACAAGAAAAAATGTATTATCTTTTCAATTCTCTTTCAGTCAGAAATCCTCAGTTAGCTATTGGTATGTTTCTTACACCTCTCTATCATTGATTATCTCATTTTAAGAAATAGAGAACATGCCTCAGAGCCTTTGGAAAACAACCATTATTTAGCCAGAACTTTGTAACATTGTTTTGTTTTCACTGTATCCTTTAGAGCTATCATCCATTTAAAGCATGGGATACTGATTTTTCATTTATAGTAGTGAGTTGAATAAAAAGGTGAATTTAAAGAAAATAGCACAAATTGCATGCAGATATTGTAAAAATTATAAGGATGCTCTATGAATGAATTTGAGAAACAGTAATGTGCAAGGTATTACTAAAGTAACAACCAGTTTCTCTTGTCTATGTCTCTCACACACACATACACAAACACATTCAATAAGTAATTAATCTAAATGAATAATCAAAAGCCACAAATTGTATGAAGACATTCAATGAAAAGTCCATGCTACCACTTGACATTGTAGCCAAAATAATGATATTCCATGATATGACAATATTGTTTGTGCATTTTCTTGACTAAATGATAATCTCTGATCATATGTATAAGAAATGTGCATATGCTTTTATGTGGAAGCCAGGACAATTTCATTCTGTAATTTATACTTACATACCTTATAATCCTTGGGTCGGTAGCAGCCAAGATGAGAATGATCTGAAACAGGATGTACAAAAGAATTAAATTAGAAATATTTCATATCAGAAAGAAGAAAATTTGGTTTCATCTTTGGTTTTTGCTATGATTTCTATGTTTCTATGTTTATAATTTCTTTGATTTCTATGATTATAATTTCGTACAGTTTTCAAAAATATCTTAAAATCCCTCAACAATGCCGTATAAGTAAAGATGATACACAACAAGTTAAAATCTGTATCCATTCTTCAATAATTAGGTGATTTCACAAATAATGTTTTCATTAGAGCTGGAGATATCAGAATATAGACCGGAATAATTTTTTGTTGCTAAACCAATCTCCCTACATGAAATGGATAATCTTTAGTAGATAAAGTAATTTATGATGAAATATAATTTGAATATATAGATATGATAGGTATTGCCAAACTGCATGTGTTCCCATTCTTGGGAGTCCACACTAGAGTCAAGTGAGTATAAAGGCAAGAGGACCAGCTTTAGATTATGGCAGCAGAGGTGTACAGACCTTGTTGACAAATAGATCCATACTACAGTCCAGTCACCAGCACCTCCTGTATAACCTTAGGCTCATTATTTAACCTTTCTAAGTCTCAGATTCCTCCTCTGCCTCATGTACCTCTTTCATAATTGTTTTAAATATTATATGAAATATTACATGTAAGGCAATAAAATAAATGTTAGCTACTATTACTAACTTCATCGTCAACATCGTTACTCTCAAGTTCTAAGTCAAACAAGCCTAGGTGCAATTTCTGATTCCACCACTTATCAAATATATTACTTTGGTCAAGTTATATAATTAATCTGTGTTTCAGTCCTCATTTTTTTTAAAGATTTATTTATTTATTTGACATAGAGAGAGATGCGAGAGCAGGAACACAAGCAGGGGGAGTGGGAGAGGGAGAAGCAGGCTTCCCACCGAGCAGGGAGCCTGACATGGGACTCGATCCCAGGACCCTGGGATCATGACCTGAGCCGAACGCAGACGCCCAATGACTGAGCCACCCAGGCACCCTTCATTCCTCATTTTATTTTTTATTTAAAAAAAATTTTTTTGGGGGGGCGCCTGGGTGGCTCAGTCGTTAAGCGTCTGCCTTCGGCTCAGGTCACGATCCCAGGGTCATGGGATCAAGCCCCACATCGGGCTCCTGGCTCAGTGAGGAGCCTGCTTCTCCCTCTGTCTCTCTCCCTGCTCATGCTTTCTCTCTCTGTATCTCTGTGTCTCAAATGAATAAATAAAATCTTTTAAAAAAATTTTTTTCTGTTATGTTAATCACCATACATTACATTATTTGTTTTTGATGTAGTATCCCATGATTCATTGTTTGCCTATAACACCCAGTGCTCCATTCAGCACGTGCCCTCTTTAATACCCATCACCAGGCTAACCCATCCCCCCAAACCCCTCCCCTCTAGAACCCCCTCAGTTTGTTTCTCAGAGTCCATAGTCTCTCATGGTTCATCTCCCCCTCCAATTTCCCCCCTTTCATTTCTCCCTTCCTACTATCTTCTTCTTCTTCTTTTTTTTTTTAACATATAATGTATTATTTGTTTCAGAGGTACAGGTCTGTGGTTCAACAGTCTTACACAATTCACAGCGCTCACCATAGCACATTTAAAAGTATGAAGACAATGCCTACTTTGCCTCAGAGAGTCATAGTAATGATTAAATTATACCGCTTAAGAAAGTTCCTAGCACAGTATCTGTAACAAAGTAGATTATAAAACTATTCTCTCTCCTGGGATAAGGACCACTATATTGCAGATGCAGATTTTGGGTTTTCCTCATTACTTAAAGGAGTCAACGTTTAAGTATTATAATCTCTTATACTGACATTCAAGCAAATCAGAACCATAATTTGCAATTCTACTTCCTTACACATTCTAGTCAAAAGCATTCTAACATTCTATATTTTACTTTCCCAAATCACCTTATCCAAAAAAAAAAAAAAAAGAAATGATTATATAGATAGAGACCTAGGATAGTCAATAGTCAATTAATTAGCTTTCTTTTATGGCACAAGATCTTGTTTGTTTTCCAAGTGTCCTGAACCATTACAGAGAATAGCTGAAACATTAATGTCTTTCACATAAGGCCAACTTCACCGTTTAAGTCAGTAAGACTCAACTTACTTCAAGTGCTTTTCAAAATTAAAAATAAAAATAAATCCCAGCTCAACTCCTTTTCCATAAGGTCTAATAATGTATAGCATGGCCACAGTAGCAGAAATAAAAGAATGATACAGACATAATGAACCTAATTCTCCACACGTGCTAACTTTGAAAATTAAGGTAATAATTTCTGTACTTGGTATATATTCTTTCTGGCAGCTAATGTAATATTAAAAGTACCAGTATATTAAAATGCCAATATGTCTTCTGCTTTCCACAAACCATTTGTAAACCTACCCTAACAGAGATAGATTTATAATTTTCTTTTATTTTGAAATCCAGCTGTTACTGAGGTTCCCAATGTTTGCACTTCATCACGCTTACCAATAATTACTCACTATATTCTAAAAGCAGGAGATAAAGGAGATAAAAGTCATGGCCCATGCTCAGGAAATGCTTGTAATTTACTTCGGTTAAGTTATACAAAGTTGGGTAACAGCAGCATAAAAGAGGCTAAGTCAGAATGGTACAGGCAATTAATGCTATTTAAAAAAGTCATATCAGAGATTAATCTCTCAAGGTTGAAGGCAGTCAGAGAAAACTTCCTAAAGGAGGAGAAAGCTGACCTGGGCCTTAATGGATGGGTCACACTTAAGAAAAATATGAAGAAAAATTAGAGCTAACTCAGATTGTGCATGTGCGTGTGCGTGTGTGTGTGTGTGTGTGATCTCGATCACCTTTGACTTTACTTCTTTATACCTCATTTTTTTTGATCTGTAAAATGGAGATAAATAACAGTATCTAAAATTCTTGATTATTGTAAGTAACCAATGAATATTAGTATTTAGAATCAAGGCCAGCAGAAAACACATTCAATAAAGGTTAGCCATTACCTGGTTCTCCAATAACTGCATGAAACAAAATAGGTGTTATGGACTGAATGTTTGTCTCCTCCCAAAATTCCTATGTTGAAGTCCTAACCCCCAAAGTGATGGTATGCGGAGATGGGACTTTTGGGTAGCAACCAGGATTAGATGAGGTCATGCAGGTAGGTCCCTCACGATGGAAAGAGCACCCTTCTAAGAAGAGACAGCAGAGAGCTTGCACGTGCACATGTGCTCGCATGCTCCCCATTTCCTTCTCCACACGTACACAAAAAAAGGAGGTCATGTGAGCATACAGTGAGATGGCAGCTTTCTACAAATCAAGAGAAGAGGTCTCAGAATGAAACCTACTTTGCTAGCACCTCGATTTGGGACTTCCCAGCCTCTAGAATTGTGAGAAAAATAAACGTCTCCTGTTTAAGTCCCATCTATGGTATTTTGTTATGGCAGCCGGAGCGGACTGATAGAACACCTAAGGCGAACGGTTATTTCTACTTTACATTTCAGGAAGCTGACTTCCTATATAGCCAAAAGTAATGGAACTAAGGTCTTTGATTAGTTCACACAAGAGAATGAAAGTGCCTTTAGTCTCAAAAATGACATCAGATTCTGAATTTAACAAAATGGATGTGATATATAATCAAATTAGTTAAGTATCAAGTAGTGACTATTAAAAATAAATGTGGCAATCAGTCATCAAAATATTTCCATAGCAACCATCTAATATAGAAACTAAGATCGACTTTGTACAAAGGTCACCATTCCTGCTGGGAGTAGTCTGGTAACTTAGAGCCTTTGCATGCTTCCTCTCTCCACAGTTGACCCTCACTCAATAGGCTCAAATATGACTCAGTCCTAAAGGACCAATCCTGACTTTAACCAAGAAGGATTTAAGGAACTTTAATCTAAAACTTAGCATCCCTGTATCAGTTCATCCTTTCTATCAAAGTAATTCTTGAGCCCCATTCTGATGATTACAGCCAATATGTGTTCCCTATGAATCAATCCCTATTCTGGCAACCTCGATAGGACCTTAAATTGAAGGGTACTATCATCTTCCTTTTTTTCGTAATTTTAAGGAATTGAACCCCATTCTGGTAGTGAGTGCTACTACTATTGCAAAACATCCCTGCTGATGAATGTGTGTACCTATGAACCTCCAAAGAGTATGCTCCTGAAGTCCTTCATCAGTAATTACCCTATTGTTATCCTAAGGCCCACATAACATCCTAAGGTTGACCTCTGCTCTCCTGTGAATCTTCATGAAGCACACAGCCATGCATTTCCTATATGCCAGTCCCTATAACTGGAAGCAAAGCTAAGATGTCCAGCTTTATAAAATAAAACCAGGGTTTAATATCTCTTAGGGGATCCCACCTTCTAAAAAGGAAAAACATGTAACATGTGTTTTCTGTCTCTTGCTCACCTGTGATACCTTCAACAGAAACTGTTTACTCTGACCTCTGATGTTTTCATCTTTATTTCTATTGTTGTCTGACATCTCATCAGCAAAAGTCTCAGACTTTCCCCCTCACTATTTTTTTCTTGTCTGAAGTTTAGCAAACAGCAAACTTATCAGTGACTGAAGAGTGATGATCATGAAAAAAGATAAATTAATGTCTAATAAGCACATGAAAAAACATTCAATGCCATTAGTCAAATGTAAATTAAAGTTTCAGTGAAACAGGACTGACTGCCTATCCACTAGAATGGTTAAAATAAAGGCAATAACAAGTGCTGTTGAAGATGTGGAGAAACTGGACCATCATACACTGCTGGTGGAAATGTAAAATGGTAGAGCCATGTTGGAAAACAACTGGCAATTTTTTAAAAAGTTAAATATAAACTTACCATATGAACTGGCAATTCCATTCCTAGGTATCCAAAAGAAATAAAAACATGTGTCTATGCAAAGACTTCCATGCAAATGTTCAAAGTAGCATCATTCATAATGGCCCAAAGTGGAAACAACCCAGGGACTCAAGGTGAGAATACAGATTTACTGCAAATGGGTATGAGGAAACTCTTTTGGATGATAAAAATATTCTAAGAATGGATTGTGGAGATTTTATAACTGTGCAAATTTATTTAAAATACTTCAGTTGTGCACTCAAAATAGGTGAATTTTATGATATATAAATTATAGCTCACTAAAGTTAAAAATGTTTAATAAATAATAGGAAATCAAAAAGGAATTCCTAAAATGACACAGCTCAGCTGCCTTCTGCTCTATGAGATGAGGCACACATTTAAATAAAAAAAAGATATTTTGCTAATAACTATATATACAGTGACTATTTGCTATTTTACTCAGAATAGTAAAATGTTACCATTTATTGTTCTCTATTCGAGTAATGACATATTAGGTTTTGGAATGTAATTTCCAATTTATTTTACTTTACAAACAATAACCACCAAACAGATTAGCGGAATCTCATAAAAGATTACAATCTTAGGTAGAAATGAAACTCATAAAAGAATCTTCAAAATAAAGGGAGTAAGAGAAGTTTCCTCCACGGGGGAGACAGAATCTAACATCTTTTCATATTCTGAGCAAATAAAAAAGGGGCCAGGATGATGCCCTCAATTTCCTCTTCAAAAACACCAGTGACTGGATAAAGCTTACAAACATTCTGGCAGCACAAGACATGCCAGATCTCTTCAAAAGGACCGCACAAATTACAGTTAGAATGATATACTATGGAAATTCCAGATAGAGAAAATGTGCTTGAAAAATTTATCTTAAAAAAAATACATCTAAATGGAAATAGAGAAAGTAGGAGGAGAGTGGTGGGAGGGGTTGGGGCGAGAAACGCTGGACCCCAGACCAACCAGGGCTATTCTGGAACTCTCCAACAAGCCACTTAACCTGTCTAGGCCTCTGTCATTTTTCTTGATCAAATACAGTTAAATTCATCCTCATGTGATTATTATGATGACTAAAGTAGTCAATGGTGGTGAAATGGTACCCTATAAAAACTTAAGAATTTTTAGGTAGGATAATTTGGCAAGAAAAGGTTTAAGAATTTCCATTAAAGTCACTAATGAAAATTTACTCTATCATAATAAGAGATTCTATCATAAGAAATTCCCATATGTATTTCCATAGCTGATGAGACTCCAAAACATAACCACCCGATTGCCAGACAGGAAAAAAAAAGGCAGTCAAAAGAATAGGGATATTAAAAGTAGAGAAATGAGATGAAAAAACTCCTTATAGTAGAAAGGCAAGTAATAAATGTACAAAGAATAATGGAATTTTTAAAAATCACTCTTTGGCAAACTTTACAGTAACAAACTTTTTCAAGCAAGAATCATCAATGTATGCTAAAGGGATCAAAGTTGAGGTGACAGGATATAATAGTCTCAAAATATCTCCCCCTTAACTACAAAGGGAAGAGATAGCACCTTTATGATGGAGAAATCTAGCAGACCCCATCTTAATTAATGAGCAAATGAATATCACCAGTAACAAAGCAGTATCACATGTTTCCTGACATGTTGCACTGAGAGTAACACATCACATCTGTTGTATTCTGGAGGGAAATGAATAATCTAAATTTAATCATGAGGGAAAATCAAACAAACTGAGGGACATTCAACCAAATAACTGGCCTATACTCTCCAAAATTATCAATGTCAAATACAAAGAAAGATTAAGGAACTGATCCGTTTTAAAGAAACTAAAGAGACATGTTAAACTGAAGACCATGCATGATGTGCAATTTCTTTTGCTATAAAGATATTATGAGGACAAGCAGCAAAATCTGAGTTAGGTTTATAGATTAGTTACTATTATATCATTGTCCATTTTCTGCTTTTCATAATTATATCACATAATATCTGCATTAGTCTCCCTGGGCTGCCATAACAAATACCATATAGACTTGGGGGCTTTTACAACAGTTCTGGAGGCTAGAAGTCTGAAATCCAGGTGCCAGGGCAGTCAGGTTCTGGGGAGAGCTCTAGTTCTGGCTTGAAGATGGCTACCTTCTGCCTGTGTCCGCATGAGGCAGAGAGAGAAAGCAAGATTTCTGGTTTCTCTTCTTATAAGGGCACTGATCCTATCATGAAGGCCCCACCCTCCTAACCTTATCTAAACCTACTTACCTTTCCCCATTTCCAAATACTACCACATTTCAGGTTAGAGCTTCAACATAAGAATCTTGGAGGGACATAGTTCTGTCCATAGCAATGTGCTTGTCAAAAAAAAAAAAGTTTATATACAAACATACATACAGAGGTGGAAGTGGGGGGGGTAGGGAGGAGATAAAGAGGGAAAACCAAATATTAGTATTTGTGGATTCTGAAAGTTATATGGGGATTCTTTATACTATTTCAACTTTTCTGTAAGTCTAAAATTATTTCTAAATAAAAAGTTATAAGAAAAAAAGCAGACCTCACTACTGACCTCTCTGATTGTACCTCTACATAGGTAGCTGACTGTGGCGATCAAAAGTTACTGGAAACTCTAACAGTTCTGCTGGCAAATACATAATAATTATCAAGAGAAATCAGACGCCTCAGTGCATTCCAAAAGCATCTTCCAAAGGATTATCTATATTGAAGTTATTTTCGATTTTCTTGTTCTTAAACCTTTTTTTCCATGTCCATAAATTTCTTCCAAGAGGGGAAACAGAGTATAACATCTGTCCCTAATTTCATATAATCTGCTATTGTGGTTATAAAAGACTTAGTGATTACCACATCTATCTCCCTGCTAATGCTAAAAAAGCAAAATAAATGAGCACAAACTCTGCATGTTCTCAGAGAAGAATGTTTCATTTTCCCATTAAAAGAAAAGATTCTACACATGCAGCTCACTACATGTTATGATTGTGTTTTTTTCACTGTCTCATTTTTCTTCTTCTATGCCTTTCACAGTATGTAGTGAATTAACTTAAAGGCTGCTGGGAAATGCTTGCTGAACCGACTAACCAGTGATTATAGATATTAACACTCAAATATCCCTAATCATATAACACTATTTAATCTTCTTTGTAAAAGTCATCTTCAGATTGAACTTAAGAAATAATTTATCTAACCATTAGAATCAGGGCCTATGATGAAAAAAAGATTCCTGTAAACTAAACTTAAAGGACATTATCTTTTCAGAAATCTAAGTATTATTATAATGACAGTGGATATTAAGGCCTGTGTGCTAGGGCATTTTACATGGTCATACTTACCGTGTTATCCTCATTCTTTAATATATTGATTATCAAAGTAGTTAAAATGATTTGTTCAAGAATGCCCAATTTATAAATAAGCGACAGAGCAAGTATTCAAATATATGTGTAAATGTATGTCCAAAACCCATAACCTTGAACATTTTTTACTGTGGTGTTTCCCAAAGCCTATTCCACAAACTAAGGAGTATATGTTAAAGCAGGAAAATGGTTCCATCGTCAAATAAATTTAGAAATTTTTGAGCAAAACAAAACCAGGTTGTTTTTTTTTTCACTAGAAGGTTATCAGTCTTCAATATGCTACTATGTATTTTGAATCTCAAAGAGGGAGATTAATTTATAGAAGCATAGAAATTCTATTATTTTTAGAGAGTACCTATATGAGTATTTCAAAAGTTGTAAAAAGTAGCACTATGCCTTATTATCCAATAACACAGCAAAGAATCTATTTTTGTTCATTGATGCCAAGTAAAAGACTTGACTGTACCAAGGAAACTAAAGTAATGAAGAGAGACAACTTTTAAGTTACCATTGTGCATCCTAGACCATCCATCTCTTTCACAGTCTCTGCCAGAAGATCCAAATAAAACATCAGCCCTGGGACTTGGGGGGTCGACCTAGAAGAAGCAAGATTGAAAGTCAAAAAGAACTTAAATGTTCTTTCAGTCTCATGGCACCTGAAAATCAACTCAAGTACATAGACTGTAGTCATCAGGTTAACACGATACTGCCTGTGTGGTTCAGGCATGTTCTGAAGCCAGAGCTTAGTTGAGTATTTTGCTGTTCATGTTTAAATAAAATTGAAATTAAACTCCAGAATTTTTTAATTATAAATTTAAGTCTATTTTAAAATTAACAAATTTATAGTTGAAATGTCCACTACCCCATGCCCAGTTGGCTTTCCATTACAAAACTACAAAAAGAGGAATCTATTTTGCCACATTTAAAAAAGCAAGTTTAGCCATTTGCTACTTAGATAGATGCTGAATTCAAACAGTGTCTTTACTTGGCTATGTTCAGGGCCCAGCACGCTTAGTGTTTTATAGCTCACAGATTATTACAGCTAAGCATGTTTTCTAATGAAAAAGAAAAAAGAGTGATATAAACTGTAAAAAAGATAGCTCTATTGATCAACATTAAAAACTTTGTACATAAAAGGACACTATTAAGAGAGTGAAAAGCAAACTATTTAATAAAAAATATACATATTTTCAAATAATTATCTGATAAGGCATTAATATCCAGAATATATAAAGAAACTTCTACAACCCTGAAAAAAAAAACTCCTCAATTAAAAAGTGGGAGAACTTAAATACACATTTCCCCAAAAGACATACAAATGACCAATAAGTACAAGAAAAAATATTCAATATCACTAATTATTAGGGAAATACAAATCAAAATCATAGTGAGAGATACTACTTCATGATGTGAATATAATTACTGCCTCTGAACTATACACTTAAAATGGTTAAAATGGTAAATTTTATATTGTGTATATTTTACCACAATTTAAAAAAATTAAATTTTAAAAAAAGGTGAAAAGACAAGCCATAGAATGAAAAAAAATCTTTACAAATCATATCTGATAAGGATTTAGAATCCTAAATATATAAAACAAACTTACAACTAAATATAAAAAAGTAAAAAAAAAAACAATTAAAAATGGACAAAGAACTTGAATAGACATTTCTCCAAAGAAAATATACAAATGGCTAAAAGCACATAAAAAGATGTTCAACATCATTACTTATTAGGGAAATGCACATCAAAACCATAATGAGAAAAAAAAGCCTTAATGAGAGACCAATCCACACCCCCTAGGACGGCTATAATAAAAAGAAAACAAAACAAAATAGTAAGTGTCAGTGAGAATGTGGATAAAGTGAAACCCTCAAACATTGCTGGAGAATGTAAAATGGGACAGCCACTGTGGAAAACAGTTTGACAATTCCTCAACAAGTTAAACACAGACACACCACATGACCCAGCAATTCCACTCCTAGGTATTAAAGCAATTAGGCATGAAAACAGATACTCAAATGGAAACTTGTGTATGAATGTTCATGGAAGCACTATTCACATAACCAAAAGGTGAAAACAGCCCAATGTCCATCAACAGATGAATGGACAAACAAAATGTCGTATATATCCATACAATGAAATATTATTCAGCCATAAAAAGAACCAAGTACTGATACATGCTATAACATGAATGAAACTCAAAAACACTGTGCTAAATGAAAGATGCCAGACAGAAAGGTCTATGTATTGTAGGATTCCACTTAGATGAAAAGGCAGAGTAGGAGAATCCATATAGGAAGCAGATTAGTGGTTGCCAGGGGCTGAAGAAAGGGAAAAATGGTGAGTGAGTGCTTAATGAGTATAGGGTTTCGTTTCGGATGATTGAAAAAGTACTGGAACTAGATCGTAGTGACAGTTGCACAACATGTACTTACTGCTACTGAAATTATACACTTTAAAATGGCTAAAGTGGTACACTTTATGAGTATTTTACTGCAACAGAAAAAAAAGATCCTATTCTGTATCAAGGTAAAAGAAAATAATTCTGTTTACCTTTTCTGGGATGGTTGTGCTAGTTTGTTTGGGAGCATTCTAGTTAGTTTCTTGAAACTGCTCCTTACTATGTGAGACTTTTTTCACACAATGTATGTAAAACTAGAAAGTCTTTCCTAAAGGTATTAACTTTTTACATATGCACGTATGAAATTATTTTTTTTGAGAGACGAGGGAGGGAGGGAGAGAGAAAGAGAGATAGACAGCGTGCACGCAGGAGGAGGGAGGGGCAGAGGAAGAGAGAGGTAATCTTAAGCAGACTCCATGCCCAGCATGGAGCCCGACGTGTGGCTCCAACTCACGACGCTGAGCTCATGACTTGAGTTGAAATCAAGAGTCGGATACTTAATCGACTGAGTCACCCAGGAGCCGCTGAAATTAAAATTTTGTTTATCAATTTATTAAGTGCTTCTGAAATCATGAATGGCTATGGGGGAAGAAAAGACATCTCTATGCAAATACAACTGGAAAAATCCCATTTCTTATATGATAATTTAAGCAATTTTCTTTCTTTTTTTTTTAAGATTTATGTATTTCTTGGAGAGAGAGAGAGAGATCATGGTGGAGGGGAGAGGCAGAGGGAGAGGATCTTATACAGACTCCCTGCTAAGCCCAGAGCTCAATGTGGGGCTCAATCTCACGATCCTGAGACCACCACCTGAGCCAAAATCAAGAGTCAGACTGAGCCACCCAGGCACCCAAATGTAAGCAATTTTCTAACTGTAGGCTTAGAAGTATGCATTTTTTTCTGTGATCTGGAAAGCTATAAAGGAAATCTCTTCACTGAAAACATCAAGGCCTATACCTAGCAGTATTAGAATTATTCCACTTTGAACACTAGTGTGAAAAAACAGCAATTTAATGAGCACTTGAAGAGAAATTATTTCCCTCAACAATTTTTTTTCTTTGTGACTAACGCCCACTAACTATTACTGGTTATTTTGCCCATGGGCATTTTAATTAAAATGCTACTATTCCTTCAGATTAGAATTTAATAATATCTTTTCAACTTAATTTACAACGGCGAGCAGTCATAAAATGAAAGGTTTTCTGAAATTGCCATCAAACCAGCAAGTAAATCTTATCTGGATATGTCCAAACAACAACAAAAAATGTGGCCAGCACCTATAAACAAATCTATAGAAGAAAAGACAAATGTAATCACAATAATCTCAATAAAATATTACCATTTAAAAGCACCCATTATAAGTTTTCTTTTTACAATAAAAAACCTGTTACCTAAGGTTAAAAGAATAAATGATTTGTAGTCAAAATATAAAAATGGAATGAAATGTTGCTTAATGTAATTACATCTAAAATTAAAAAAATATATATCACACACAAAAAAATCTGAATTTTCAGATGGTGTATTTTCAAAAACCCATTAGATTATCCAAGGAGCATCTTTACATGGTTATATTTACATATTAGAATTTAGAAAAAGATGAATTAGACATTAAAGTCAGAAATAACTTTATAGATAACCCCAAAAGTTGTTTTGCTTCTGTAGGCACTTAAACCTTAACATTCATTATTACTATTATATGTATTTATTAGTAATTTTTATTAAATTGCAAGCTTTTGTTAAAGAAATACTTTTAGGATAAAAATTCTTTTCAAAAATTCAAGAAACTATGAGAATTCTAAGAAAGTCCTTTATTAAACATTCTGAAATATTACAGACCCCTAAAATTAGCCAAAGTCTACTTGACTATCACACGAACACAAGCTCTAAGTTTAAACCATATCAAAAGCAGTCTTCTGTTTGGGAAGATTACAACTATGCTACCCTAAGTTAACTCTCTTCACTTTCAAAGGCCTTCCCATCCTCATCAAATAGTGATTTGCTTCAAAGATCCATTATATAAGGTTTACCCAAGGGACATAATATCAAAGGAAACTTAACTTTCCATTATAATTTTTAAAAAGGCTAGAAAAGGGGGGTCTTCCTTTTCATAAAGAAAAGTTGGTCCTCTTTTAAAATCCTACTCTGCCATTTTAGTACTAATGTCAGTTACACCTAAGTTCAATTTGTAGAGTTATTACACTGTCCAGTGTATAGGAAGAAAGGAAATGGATACTTAAAGGATTTAACATGGTATTCATAATGGAACTTGACCTCTGTCAGGTTTAAAGACTGAAAAAAGAATGTTCTTTTACTCTAATTTTCCATTTTAGATTCCTCAGCTAACAGTTCAGGAAAGAAAATTATTAATAGAAGCCAGAAGTTGAAAGAAGTTTCAGAATAATATTTTAGTGAAAGAACAGATTAGATTGGTTTCAAATGGAAATGTTTAAGAGAACACATACATGTCTAATCACAAATGGAGGTTTATCTGTTTCTTTTTTGAATTCATAGGGTCCCAGATTTAAATGGGCCAGCCGCCGCCTGGTGTCTTCAGATAGCTCACACATGCGTCTTTTTGTGTAGGGAGATGGAGAGTGTGATTTTGAAGAAATTGTAGGCTGTTCGTAGTTTTTTGCATTTATGCAATATTTATTTCTCTCAGGTGACTTGGATTTTTTCTTTTGTGATCTTGATGTTGATGTTCTGCTTTGCAGTCTGCCATGTGATTTTTCAACTGGAGCCGTATGGTAAATAAATTTATCCTAAACATAAAAAATAAAAATTAACATGGGTAGAAGCTATATGTAGAGATATATGTATAGGTATCTATCTATAAATTACAGGTAGAAAAAAACTTTAAAAATTAATTTAAGGCACATATAACCTATCAAAGCCAACTAGTCTTTCCTAGCTATGCTAGATAACTCTGTCTAGTAGTTAATAAAGTACATGGTATTCTTAAGTCTAACAAGTACTTATGAAAATAAAATCCCAATATTTAATCATTGGAAAAATCTAAGAAACAAGGTCAGAAAAATTAGTTTTCGGTGTACTAAAAAATTAACATAAACATTGGTTTATCATTTGTAATTAAGTATTCAAGTAACTGGCTATATAATTTAAGAGGGCTTTTTTTTTTTTTTTAAGAGTATATGAATGGGGTGGGAAGGCAGAGGGAGAGGGATGGAATCTTAAGCAGACTCCATGCTGAGCACAAAGCTCAATGTGGGGCTCAATCTCACGCCCCTGAAATCATAACCCCAGCCGAAATCAAGAGTCGGAGGCTTAACTGACCGAGCCACCCAGCGCCCCAAGAGGGCTTTTTTAGTAATGTTACAAATACACATGGCTAATTAGTTGCTTATGAAATCTTTATGGAGAAAATTATTAAAATAAGTTTCATTTATACTGCTAAGATTAAATACGTATATACAATGTGAACATCTGAAAAACAGCTTTATACATATTTTCATGAGATGTATTATTTGGATTATACAAGGTGATTAGGATCTTAAGATCTCTTCCAAACTAAAACTTTACAGGTCAACGACCAACAGCCATATCATCTTAATTCTGGTTCCATATTTTTATAAAAGTAAAAAGACATAAAAGACACATATAAACTTTAATGACTAGTACTCTATTAGTAAAACTGGTTAGCAGTCTAAAATTTTAAAAAACAAATGTTACATTTCTAAAATTTTTTTGCGTTATTAGGATAACATTTTATTTAGTCTCTGCCTTTTGAGTGCCTTAAAGTTTGGATTACAGGTAAATAAGACCTCTTGATTCATTATCTAGAATTAAAAGATTTCTAATATTAGAGAAAATGGACAGTTGAGAAACTTTGTCTTCCTAACTTTAATCATTTAAAAAACCTATCAATCCTACCTCCTTCTCTATTTTCTCAACCCCTCCTTCCCTAACTTGCTAAGGGTATCTATTCTAAGTAAATATTAAAACATAAATGTGATATAGAAGGGAAAAGAGTCAAATATTTTTAAAAAATAGATAAACAGGAAAAAATATATTTTCCTAATTGGAAAATAAGTCCATGAGTTTCATAAAAACCTGCAGCAGCAGATTATTTCATCTTTCCTCTATAGCTGTTGATACTCTCCCAGTCCTTCTCCCACGTTGCTCAATGACTTCAACAAGTAATTCAGAACTTTCCTACCATATCACACTTCATCTATCTCTATGACATCACACTGATGCACAGAAGCAGGAATGTTAGCACATGCAAGGACCTTTGAGGTGTAATAAATGTTCAAGCAGTGAATCTTTCCAAGACTTTGGACTCAGACTTCTATTTCTCAGCTTTAGTTACCTTTTTCCACCTCATCTTAGAGTTTATCATTATGCAGATCCATTGTTTCTCAAACTCTGAAAATCCCTTGCTGACCAAAACTGCTTTTCCTCATTCTACCTTTTTTATTCTCACTGAATCTGCTCCCTGACCTCCTCACTTCCCTCAGTCCCTGGACCTCTTTTTCCCCAGACCTTCATACATTTTTAATATCTCTTACACCTTCAGACCCAGATGAACCCAACATCATCCATTTCAGCAATGCTGTAAAGTTCCTTCTTACCTACCTCTGATTATACCAAACCTAAAACAACTAACCCTACCTTCTTTCTTCATTACAATTTTTGAATGTTGAATACTATTAGAAGTTATAAACTGTGGAATATGTAGTACAGATACACACTGTCTAACTCTATCCAGTCCTTAATGTATCCTGTTACTGCCCAGGAAAACTTAAAATAGTGGCTGTTACATGCTGTTAACACGATGGCTCCCTCTGGCTAACAGGACACTAGCTTGGGACAAAAAGAGAGACTTGAAAAAGTGCTACTGTCTTTTATTCCTTTTTGGAAACCTTCCTGCCTCCATGTGAATGAGCCAAAATTAGCCTACTAGATGATGAAAGTCTTGTGGCCACCATCCCAGCTAAAATCAAGCAAATTATCAGAAATATAAAGTCCCTCCCAGACAAAAACTCAGCCAACTACCCGACATGAATGAAGCCATCAGAGATCATTCAGCCCTAGCCTCGCCAGTTCAAACCAAAAGAATCAACCAATCAATCCAGACAACTGTCCAAAAGTTAGTGTTGCTTTTTACAGTAAGCAAAAACTACCTGATCCAGCATACAAATTAATAAAACTACCATTGATATTTAACTATTAATAATAAATTCTACCTTTAGTAGGTAAAAAGAGTAAGTAGAAAACTAGTTTTATTTCAGAAAATCACAATAATATACTTAATTTTTTCAATCCATCTAACTGGTGACAAAACATCAATTTGAAAATAATATGCCAAAAGGAATAAAGATCATTATAACTATTTGTAAACTTAAATAATTTTATAGTTTATTTCACTCATTCTGCTTTTAAAAACCAAAATGGCTTGTCTTATTCTTATGTTTGAACCTGAAAATGCTGCTTTGTAGCTATTAAAATTTTAATTGTAACTTTAATATTCACTTTTTAAAAAGCAGATTTATCACATTCTTAAATAAGGTCAAAGAAGATTAAAATTCTGGCTAAAATTTTAATGTGTAAGCGTATACTCTGTTATGCCTACCAGATAATGTTTTCTATCTTGTATTTTAATTATTGTCTTCTCTCCTAATTATTTAAAAAAAAAAAAAACCCTTAGGATCAGCCATCAAATTCATTAATTATATGTTACGTGCCAGACACATTGCCTACTCTCTAATTTAATCTTTAAAGCAGCCTTGTGAGGAACTTGAACCCAGATCTGTCTGATTCTGAGGCATATTTTCTTCAACACTGTCTGACACCAAAACCTATCCTATTTTCTTACATCTGTTCAATAAAGAACAAATGACAAACACTGAAATAGCAAGTTAAAAAAAGAAATGAGTCTTCTCAAAAGTTTACAGAGGAAAACATCAGTTCCTAAAGTCCAGTGAAACTAGTGATGAGGGGACAATTTTACATTTACGAAAGACTTTCCAGTACCTTAGAAGGTACTTTTCTGTGCATATGCCAGAGTTCATACAAAAAAAAGACTTTTCTACCTACCCACCAGAAGGGCATACCCCAATGAGGAGAGAAAAATTTTGTCTGAGTGCAGGTAAAATACTGTTAATAATTTACAAATATACACAGTTTTGCACAACTCAAAACAAGTCAGTTAACATCTTTGCATTTGGCAAGCATAGTTTGTTAGATCTCTAATAGCTGCATTTCAGCTTGCATTTCAAAGACAATTAACTATAGCCAAACTGGCACACTACGTATCTTGCTAAACAAAATAAGAATGATCCCCTTGATAATTTTATATAACCATGCTTTACCTTTCTTAGCTTACGTCACTGTTACCCTCCTCAGCAAATTTACTCTGAAACTGAGAACGCAGTAAATTATTAGTACACTCTTTCCATCATAGGTCCAGTCCTGCCTTGTTTGGGTTCTCTGGGCTTTATATGTTACTGGCTCTTCATCACACACTGGTCATTGTTACCTAATCATAATGCAACTGCATATGAGTGATGCCTAGACATTATTAGATAACCTGTGGACAAGGCAGTAAGATGATCCTGGTGACTCAGTAAAAAGTTAGACAAGAATGAAATATTAGGTCCAGATATCTCAGTTTACTAAAGGCAGTTTTTACAAATATAGAAGGTACTGAGGTTGGAGTGTCCAAGCTTCCCTCAGTCTGATAGCATCAGTATGGCCACCAAACTGAGCAAGAGTCATATAAGAATTAGAGACACTCAAGAAACCATACTCACTAAACACCAATATCCCTGCATGAGAGAGAACCTCTGGTCACATTTGTTAAAAGGTATCCTTTGAACTTCCTGCAGTCCCCTGTAACTTCTGTAAGATTTATAGAAGCCTCAGATCTAGTTCTCTGTGGGACTTCTTGATCTCAACATCTGTCTGGCAGGCTGATTGCTTTGCATTAAAAAAAAAAAAAAAAGCCCATGGAGTTACACAATAATAACGCTAACATCATGGCGCCATCTATCATGTGTACCAAACTCTTCACTCTCACATTTAAGATGCAACCAAACTGCTAAATACCTCTGATAATTGTTTTGCTTAAAGATTGATCCCCAAAAGTGAAAAGAGTTGCAGCCAAAATAAAAGAATAACTCTTGCCCAATGCCCATAAATATGAACAAATAAGCTAAACCATTAAACACTTTAAATAAATGAGTTCAACCTGAGTGCGGCACTTCCTTGAACTTATCAGACATTCAGTAATCACTGAAGTTGTAGAAAATTCCAGCTTTGGAGCAATTCCCTGAGGGGAAAAAGGGTATTATTAGATATTTCAATTTTTAAAAAAATATAATTATTAGTGATAAAACTATGACCTGAAGTAACAAACACTTGTCAAGATTTAGCTGTTTCATTTGTTGGTTTGACCTTCTTATTAAAGATAAAGACAATACAGTGATGCTAAATTTTAGCAAGAAACAGTTTCATTGCTGATGATTCCCTTACAAGTGATTATATTACCTTTATGTAAAAATTAATATATTTTTTCATTTTCAAGTATTTCCCTGTCAAATTATTCTAAGATTTTTAAACTATGATATAATATTAAAGTCATAAATATATAAAAACACTTAATGGATCTGAGCTCTTTTTACTTTTACAAATTAAGACATACTTAACTACATAATCAAGAAATGCTTTGGAGAGTCTCCTCATGTTAAAAAAAATTATAGCTTCTAGGTATGCAGTTCTTGAAAACAGAAGAGAGAGAAGTCTCTACCAATACCTCCAACATTTTTTCCCATAATGTATAGGTTATACTCAGATCTATGAATGAACCTGGCTTCTATTTCTCACAACATTTCAAACATCAGCTTGAACACTGTTTTAAAATAAGTGGAGACAAATGGTAAAATTCAAAGGAACAGTCATGAACCACCTGCCAAGATATTTGGAAGCACACAAACTGTATATTCACTAAAGCATTAAAAGGTATTGTGTACGCCCAGTGCAACTTCATTCTAATATAGCAGAAGTCAGATATTTGTCCTTTACAAACCCAGCCTTTGACATACTAACTTGAGAGTTTCAAACATCATATTACAGAAAAGGTAAATAATGAGTTGCCTAAGAATTAACTAAATGATTGCTTTTCTGCAAACATAACTTTTATTAATGAAGTCCATTATGCCTATTTGTTAGTTATCTATTGCCTCACAGGATATTAGTTAGCAGTTTAAAACAAGAGTAAACACTTATTATCTCAGTTTCTATGGGTCAGGAATCTGGCAGAGGCGGAACTGGGTGGTTCTGGCTTGAAATCTCTGAGGCAATTGAAGTCACGAGGTTGTTTGGGCTGCTGTCATCTGTAGGTTTGCCTGAGGCAGGAGGATCTGCTTCCTAAGGCTTGTTCACATAGCTGTTGGCTGGAGGTCTCAGTTCTTTTCTAGATTTTAGCAAGAGGACTCAGCTCCTCTATCCCATAAACTTCTCCATAAGACCACTCCAGTGTCCTCATGCCATGGGCAGCTAGTTCTCCCAAAGCAAAGCAAGAAGGAAGCCATAATCGTTTTTATGACCTAGTCTACTAAATCTAACACTGTCACATCTATCACATCCTACTTATTAGAATCCTTGAAGTATAGCCCACACTCAAGGACAAAAAAGTTAGACTTCCTTTTCAGAAGAGGAATATCCCAAAAATTTTGTGGACATATTTTAAAACCACCACAGTCCACCCTCTGACCACAAGTTACACTCCTTTCATGTGTAAACTAAACTCATGCTCTACAAAGAAAAGAAGAAAAGTCTCATCCTTTTACAACTTCAGCTTGAAATCCAGGATGTTGGCATCTAAGTCAAATCCTTATTCAGCCTCCTCGGATGTGGGTTCTTTAAGGCCAGTTCCTCATAGTTAGAAGACTTATAAAACAAAGAGACAAGTTATCTGCCCCACACGTACCCAAAGCACACACATGCAGCAGGTGCAGGATAATCACTCCAGATGTTCTTATTCAAAAAGGGAGTAAACAAGAGTCAAATGGGCATCACTGGCCCATAGAAATTCTAAAACCCAGCCAAGAAAATGTTAGAAGTTCCTTGATTAGAAGTTTAGTCCTGTTCCTGCCCAGAAATAACTATCCTTTGGGCTCCTCTGGGCTCTTGCTTCCAACCTTTGAATTATCACTCCTTTCCAAGGAGAAGTAGACCATATTTGGAGTGCACAGTGTTCTGAGCATGAGTCCTGTCAACAGAATTTTGGGGGTCCAAAGGCCTTTTCATTTTGTGAGATCTCTCTGCATTTCAGACCAAGCTGGTGGTGTTTCTACCAATATAATGCTTTTAAAAAACATATGGGTTCTCATGTGAATCTTACTGAAGTTCACTCCATTAGACGCGAGTTGCACCCTTCTCTACACTCAGCTTCTGCTGAGACTGCCCTTTAGCATCTTTGAAAAACCCGATTGATTAAATTATTTTCTGAGACAACATCTTGAATCTTTCTGAAATTTTAATGAAGGATTTTATAGTTATACCTTTGGTTTCACCATCAGACCACAATTTCCCAAAAGTGCCTGGAATGATTTTTGCTCAGAAGTCATTCCTTAATTTTAACATTATTTGCCATTGGAAAAGGCTGGGAATCTTCAGAAACAGTAAATTCCAATTCCTTTTTGCTAAACAGCCTTTCCTTTGCTTATCTCGCTCCTCTCATATCTTGCTATAAAGCAGCAAGAAAACCAAACAGACCCTCTAACTCTCTAACCAAAAGTCTTAGACACACCATCCATTTCATTAGATATTTCTCTCCTTCCCACATTACCGCAGGCGACTGTGTGGCTAAACTTTCTGCCATTATATAACAAGGAACCATTTTATCCCTAATTTCCAAAAGCATTTACCTTATTTTCCTGCAAACACACATCTGAGTTTCTTCAAGACCTTTCAAGCTTTCACAAACATTCTAGCAAAGCTTTCCCAGCTTCTGCCTCTCTATAGAGGTGCTTGAATGTCTTCACACATGGCAGTTTGCTTAGCCCAAAGTGACTGATACAGGAGTGAGAGTAAGGAGGAAGCCACAGTGCATTTAATGTCCTGGTCTCCAGTCTAATACTATCACTGAATCACATTTTATCTGTTAGAGTCACTAAGTATAGTCTGGAGAATTAGCTCTGCCTTTGGAAGAGAGAAGTATCAAATCATCTGTGGACATATTTTATAACTACCATAGCCTGGATTGCAACTTAGCACTTTACCCTTCCCCATATATTGCTGGTCACATAGTAAATACTCAGTGTTTTAGCCATTATTTTCAACTGAGCTTTCAAAACCATTATGTATTAGTTGGGGTTCTCTAGGAAAACAGAACATATATATAACTAATATATAATATACTATACTAATATATATATATATATATACAGAGAGAGAGAGAGAGATTTATTTTAAGGAATTGGTTCATGCAATTGTGAGAGTGGCAAGCCCAAAATCCATAGGGCAATCCACAAGCTGGCAACTCAGACAAAAGTTGATATTGCAGTCTTAAGTGTGAAATTTGCAAGCAAGCTAGCAGGCTGGAAACTCAGGAAGTATTTCTGCGTAACAGTTTTGACGCAGAATTCCTTATTGTTTAGGAAACCTCAGTTTTTGCTCTTCAGGCCTCAACTAATTGGAATGAGATCCACCTACATTGTCAATGGTAATCTCTTATACTTAAAGTCAACTGTTTGTAAATATTAATTACATCTACAAAATACTTTCACAGTAACATCTAGACTACCGTTTGGCCAAACAACTGGGCACCATAACCTAACCAAGTTGAGGCATAAAATTAATCATCACTCCATCCAAATGTCAGTTCCTCTATGAAGTCTACAAGATGTAATTCATTCATTCAATTCAATCAAGTGGCATTTAAGTACCTACTCCATGCAAAGTACTGTGCTGAGAGTTAAATTCAAAGATGAGAAAGCCACAGATTCTGTTTCTATGGAGTTCAGTCTAAAGGGGGTATTATCATCAGCACTGTCATCACCTTGATAGCCATCACCATATCACTCTCATTTACGGAGTGTTCTCCGTGCCAGGTACTGCTGTAACCATTTACAAGGTGTCATTAATCCACCCAGCAGCCCTATGATATCTTCATATGATAGTGCTTTGCTCGAGTTTAGTCAGGTAGTCTGTGAGAGTGCCAGGATTTAATCCCAGATGTGACGGAATTCTTGCCACAGCAATGGGTTCAGGAGAACAGCCTAAGACTCAGACAGATATCACAAGAATTCTTTTTTTTTTTTTTAAGATTTTATTTATTTATTTGACAGAGTGGGAACACAGCCAGAGAGGGAACACAAGCAGGGGGAGTGGGAGAGGGAGAAGCAGGCTTCCCGCAGAGCAAGGGGCCCAATGTGGGACTTGATCCAAGGACCCGGGGATCATGACCTGAGCTGCAGGCAGACGCTTAACAACAGCCACCCAGGCGCCCCTGTCACAAGAATTCTGAGGAAGGGTGCACTGTCATTTGCCAGGGCAACAAACTACTGATGGGAGTGTTCTATCCATTTACATTTAAATACAATAATTGTATGACTGGATTTATATCTGCCATTTTGCTGTACACTTTATATGTGCCATATCTTTTGATTCTTCCAATCTTTCTAGGAGTCTCACCTATATATATATACATAGCTTGGTAGTCATCCCATGAACCTGTAAGGGTTCCACTCTTTGTTGATTATCTGTATGTGGCTTGGGGAATGCATTCAAAGATAGTCAGGTCTGCAGTTTCTACTGAGTTTCACTTGTTGCTGGGCTCTCACAGTCTCGGTCTCTCATTGCATGTGCATTGTTTCAGAATCAGCCAGGAATGGGTGGAGAGCTTATCTCAGCCCTTTTACTGCTCCCTTACTTCTGTGAACTTTCTGGCAGATGGGCTACTCACTCTAATTGGAACTGCCATTGGCCTATCAAAGCTTTGGTGTTTCTTTCATCCACTTGCATCTGAATCCAATGAAGCCACACTATCAGTCCTTATGATTCTGACACCAATTCCAATGTGTGGGTTTTCCAACACCACCAAGCAATTCTCTGTGACACCAGGTAGGGGTCCTATAATTTAACTCAGTTCTGACACTATCTACCTGGCAACAGCATCAGATCCCAGAAGTTAAGGGATCAGTCCCACAAGACTGGCCAGCCCACTTCAGATGCAATCACAAGACTGGGTTGTTACCTGTGTTCCTGACCAATGGGGTATAATTTGGAGGTCCCCATGACCGCCTCCCCTGGTTTAATTAATTGGATAGAGAGGTTCACACAACTCAGGAAAATAGTTTACTGTTTACCAATTTATTATAAAAGCATATGGTAAAGGATACAGATGAATATCCAAATGGAAGAGATTCATGGAGCAAAGTATGTGGGAAGGGACATGGAGCAATGCCCTCCCCAGGGAAACCACTCTCCCAGGAGCTGCCTCCATGAGTCCAGCAACCTAAGAGCTTTCTAAACCCAGGCCCTTTGGGCTTCTATAGAGGTTTCATTACATAGGCATGATTGATTAAATCACTGGCCAGTGGTATTTTAATGCAATCTCCAGCCTCATCTATCCTCCCCAGAGGTCAAGGGGCTGAAAGTTCTAACCCTCTAATACCAGGGTTGTTCCTCCTGGCAACCAGCCCCCATCCTTAGGTTATATAGGGGCTTTCCAAAAGTCACCTCATTAACATAACAAAAGACACCTTTCTTGCTCCCCATCACTTAGAAAATTCCAAGGATTTTGGGAGCTCTGTGCCAGAACAAGGATAAAGACCAAATATATATTTCTTACTTTAAATCACAGTATCATAGTCTCACTCTCCAAAATTGATTCTGACCCCTCTGGTAGCAGAGCTTCTGATTTTTCTGCCCAGCTCCAGGACTGGTGAAGCTACAATTCTCAGTGGCCTTGCAGGGTATGGAAGCTGTCCCAGGCAAGAAGGCCACATGCTGCCACCGTTTTTATCCAATGTTTTAGCCATTATTTAAGCATAAACACCCTTTTTATCTTAATTCTAGTTAGTTAACATACAGTGTAATATTAGTTTCAGGTGTATAATATAGTTATTCAACACTTCCTTATAACATCCAGAACTTAATCTGTCTTAATTGTCTTAATTGCCAGTTTCCGGTGTCCTGAAATTGTTTTTTGTGACGATTTTGTCCAGTTTTTTATGGAGAGAGGAACTGCCAACCTTCGCACACCACCATTACCAGAAGTCTTACTTTATATATATATATATATATACACACACACATATATATACACATACATATATATATATATGTATTTTTTGCCTTAGTAATCCAACATCTGAATGTATGTAAAAAACCCAAAGTAAATAAAGAAGATACTTATTAATGATCCATAATTTTATGTTTATATTGCCAATTTGGTATAATACAGCATTTTAAATTACTTTCAAAACACCATAATTTTAAAATCAGATTTTTTTTCATTGCAGGCTTCCATACATTTGCTGAAACACACTTTGAAGGTTTTTATAATATAGAAGATGGCTAATGGACACTGATAATATCCCAAAGGAAGTATATTTTCATAGATTTGCTAGTTAGTCAACTTTTACACTTCTAGCAAGTTGAAGTTGCTATTTCCCAGAACAGAGCATATCATAAACCTAGACCTATAGGGAAAAGTATTTAATTTACCATACTAGCTCATATATCACCCCACTTTCCTTACTCATACTATTTTAACATTTTATAAAGGTAGTAAAAAAATGTTTGTCCAAATTATTTCAACCTAGACATCTTTTGCTTTTTTTCTTCTTTGAAATAGCAGGGTCTTCTCTCAGTTTCTCTAAGTGGAAGACATTTTCAGGGATAAATATATTTCTAAATGACCCAACAAAAGTTGAAGGGAGTTGGGGGAAAGGATGGAAGAGTTGGTTGTCACAATGCAGCTTTCACTTTTAGGTATATAAATGTATATTTCCATGACATGAACATACAACAATTAATCTATCCAAACTCCTAATGAACATTTAAATTATTTCGATTTTTCACTATTATGAACAATGCTATCAATGAACATCCCTAGGAAGGCTCTTAGTATACCAGAGAGAATACATCTCCATGAAACATACCTAGAGAAAGGCTATGAGAATCTCTGCTTTTACTAGATAACTCTGAATTGTGGTGGTTCCAACTTACATGGCATAGAAGCATGGAAGAGCTTCCAGTTTTTCACACTTCTAATATGGTCATATTTTATTAAATTTTACCAACTTTATGGCTATAAAAATGAAATCATAAGGTTGTTTTAGTTTGGATTTCCCTATATGCTAATGAAATCGAGCACCTTTTCAAATGTTTATTGGTCATTCTTTTGAGAGAGCAATAAAAAGAGACAGACAGGGAAGGTGGAGGTGGGAGGCAGAAAGAGAGGAGAAAAATCTGAAGAATATAAGGCAAATTAACACTTGTTAATTCTGGATGAAAGATGGGCTTTGTTCAGATTTCAGTATGTTTAAAATAACATCATAATTTCATAAAAAATTATGTTTTGAACCAAATTAAACTTTGAATTAGTTCTTCACATTTCAGGTATTAAAGCCTATGTGGTGATTTTTGACAATGATCCTACATCACAGACTGATTGAGAAAATACACTTACTCGAAGGCCAGAAATCCTCCTCATGGTAACCTGGCGGTTTGAATCATGGTGTCCAGAAATTTGGTTTGGACCCGGGAACATGAAATCTCGTGTATTTTCATCATACGTAGACAATGTTTCACCCACTACAAGAAAGATATCCTATGATTCAAATTATAACAAAATATTCTATTTAGAAACAATATGATCAAGTACAATATATATAGTGCCTGATGGCTTACTGAAATTTCTGCTTCAGGGTCATTTTTTTTTTCTATGAAAGGAAAATTAAAAGAAAGTTATGTTAAATGGATTCCTTATTCAGAAATGTAGTACATATTACTAATTCTCCCTCCCCCTTTTATAGAAGGGAGATATTCATATAAATTTTGTGAGTACCTATATGTTTCTAGAGAAAAAAAGTCCTTGTAAACATATCAAGTTGGTATGACATTTACAAACCTAAAATGTAAATATCATCTCCATAAATTTTTCCTATCTTCCATTCTTTTCTAATTGCCATTGTAAGACATTAGGTTACATGTTGGAAAAAAATGTAGACATTTTCTAGAATTTGTGGTTACCCAAATTAAGTATACATGTAATATTCAAAATCTTTTAGATTACTAATTTTTAGTAACATATAGCTCTCCACTTTTCACATAGAATAATTATTTAAGATAGATTTCTCCTATATTCACAGAAGTAAATAACAAAAATCAAGTTATCCTCCATATTTTAATTTTAATTTTAATTTTACCTACCCCAGAGATGTGTAATGTTTACTAAACAGTTAAGGTTTTATTCCACTCCCCATTCCCAGTAACAGTCAACACACAAAAACAAAGATAATTACCTTATCAATAAAAAAATGTTGTTTGAGAAAAATCACAAAAACTCAAAGTCAATTTTTATGAATGTCACAAAATATGCTAGGATGATAGCATATAATTCTCCACCTTCCTTTATTACTATTTATTCAGTTTTAGAATATGTTCAAATACGATTTATGCCAATTGTTATGTATTTATTATTTTGATCTATTGCTGTTCAATGCATAGTGGACCAATACTAGAAACTCAACTTTGTTCTTAATTTGGGAAGAAGGGGAAAATATGTATTTTTAAAAAGCATTGTTTGACATGGGTTTGCACATCAATTATCTTATCAAAATATAATACAGTACCTGGTGGAACTAGCTGAATCAACTCAAACAATGCTGTATCATCTGAAAGTTTAAAGAAAAATTTCCTTAAACAAATTAACAATAAACAAAAATTAGTTACTTTATCATAAAAGTATCTAAAAGTCAAAGTAATTGCTGGATATACTACATATATGTTTATATCTTAGTATATTGTGTATATTTTTTGGTTGCTATGTCTTTTAGGGCTTTATTAATAGTAGAGATTGTCCCTTCAATCTCTCTGGGTTTTTTTTCCGTTTTTTAAACTTTATCTTTTTAGAGCAGTTTTAGGTTTACAACAAAATTGAGAGAAAAATACAGAGATTTCCCACATATCCCTGTCCTAGCCTCCCTACCATCAACAGCACTCACAGGAATGGCACATTTTTTTTTTTTTTACCAAGGATGAACCCCCACAGTCACATAATAATCACCCAAAGTCCATAATTAACCTTGAGGCTCACTCTTGGTGATGTATACTGTCTGGATTTGGAGAAATAAATGCATAATGACATAATCCATCATTATAGTATCATTCATAGTATTTTCACTTCCCTGATTTTCCTCTGTGCTATGTCTATTCATCTCTCTCCTCCACTTCAATTTGCTCCGACAAGCAACCACCGATCTTTTTACTGTCCCCATAGCTTTGCCTTTTCCAGAATGTCATATTAGAATCATACAGTATTCAGTTTTTTGCATTGGCTTCTTTCACTCAGTAACATGCATTTAAGTGTCCTTCATGTTGTTCGTGGCTTGATAGCTCATTTCTTGTAAGTTCTGAATAATATTCATTGTCTGGATGTACCACACCTTATCCATTCACCTACTATGGGCACCTTGGTTGCTTCCAAGTTTTGGTAGTTACAAAGCTGCTCCAAACAACCTTGTGCAGGTTTTTACATGGACATAAGTTTTTAACTCCTTTGGGTAAATACCAAAAAGGGTAGTTGCTGGATTATATGTTAGGAGTGTGCTTAGTTTTGTAATAAACCACCAGTCTCCAAATTGCTGTTCCATTATGAATTCTCACCAGCAATATATAAGAAGAATTCTTTTTGCTCAATACCTCATCAACATTTAGTGCTCTCAGTGTTTTGGATTTTGGCCATTCTAGCAGTGTGGTGGTACCTTGTTTTAATTTGAATTTCCCCAGAGACATATGATGTGGAACATCTTTTCATATGCTTATTTGCCATCTTTATATCTTCTTTGATGAAGTATCTGTCAAGGTCTTTGGCCAATTTAAAAATAATGTTGTTTGTTATTTTATTATTGAGGTTTAAAAGTTCTTTGTATATTTTGGATAAATGTCCTTATTAATATTTTATAAATATTTTCTCCCAATATGTGGTTTATCTTCTAATTCTCTTGATACTGTCTTTCCCAGAGTAGAATTTTTAACTTTTTTTTAAAAGATTTTATTTATTTATTTGACAGAGAGAGACATAGTGAGAGAGGGAACACAAGCAGGGAGAGCGGGAGAGGGAGAAGATGTGGGGCTCGATCCCAGGACCCTGGGATCATGACCTGAGCCGAAGGCAGACGCTTAATGACTGAGCCACCCAGGTGCCCTGAAATTTTTAATTTAAATGAAGTCCAGCTTGTCAATTATTTCTTTCATGGATGATGTCTTTCGTGTTGTATCTAAAAAGGCATCGTTGTACTCAAGGTCATCTAGGTTTCTTCCTATGTTAGTTTCTAACAGTTTTACAGGTTTTGTATTTACAGTTAGGTCTATGATCTATTTTGGGTTAATTTTTGTGAAGGGTGTATGGTCTGTATCTAGATTCGCATTTGGATGCCTAAGTGTTCTAGCACCATTTTTTGAAAAAACTCTATCTTTGTTCCACTGTATTGCCTTTGCTCCTTTGTCAAAGTCAGTTGATTATATTTATGGGGGTCTACTTCTGGGCTCTCTGTATATCTTTATGAATATAAATTATGTCTTATTTCTTAAGCAGAACTGTGAGGACAGTGGAATATATTATATAATTCCTTATATTTTTAATATGTCTGATGTATTTTATAATACATTTATAAAAATAAGAATAAAAGATGCACTGTGTCTTGCCTCCCATTCCAGGACCCATGAAAAATGCATAATCTCTTTCCTTCTTTAAATTCTGCCATTATCATTCAAGGGAAGTCTCAGTCATTTAACCCAATACCAGTACGTCCAATCTATGAAGAAATATTAAATACTTCCTATAGGTTATAATTTGTAATAAGAAAAAAAGCCTGATATGGCCCTTTTCCTCAAGAACCTTACACTGCATTGAAAATGTAAACATTAAAGGAAATAAACACACAAATTATAACTACAAACCATAGGTGCAATGAAGGCACTGCAGGTAGTGCTATAAAAGACTGTATTAACAGGACCTAATCTAGTGAGAGAGTCAGAGAAGCCTGAGGAAGGCTCTTTAGGATCTGATCTATAGCATGAACAGGTGTAAACTGGGGGGACTGGGGAGGTAGAGTTTTTACACTTGATCCTAGCCAAAAGGCCGAGAAGCGATGGGGAGGTAGAGTTTTTTAAGCAGGAGAAACAGGATGTACAAAGGCTTTAAGCAGAACACAGCAGGGTAATTCTGAGAGATTAGGTGTTTGAAAAATAATCCTTCTGCAAAAATCAACTTGAAAAGGTAAACAATGAAAGCACGAGAGACCTAACAAGGTAGGAAAAAATTATGTTTGAAACTCAGTGTAAGGAGGAAATGCAGAGAAATAAGCCTGGCATTTGAGGCTGCTTTTCTTTTTGGATATCTGACAGTCCTGATAGAGGTAGCTTAGAGGCTGAGAAGCTGAACATAGCTTTTGATAAATTCAAGTAAAGGACCAAAAATTGGAGTATCGTGGCCTTGGAAAGAGATAGGAGGGGAGGTGTGCTTGTAAGAGACAATGGCCTGATAAACTGGCTAGGCTATAAAACTGGATCTTGAAAAGATAACTACAAGGGTAAAGAGTAAACTAAAAATAGATAGCCAACACTATATACTGAATGTTTGTATTCCCCCCAAAATTCATATGTTGAATTCCCCCAATGTGATATTTGGAGTTGGGGCCTTTGGGAGGTAGGGCAAAGCCCTAATGAGATTGGTACCATTATAAAAGAGACCCCCCCCCCCCAGAGAGCTTCCTTGCTCCTCCTTTCACCTGAGGACACAGAGAGAAGATGGCTACCTACGAACAGAAAGGCAACCCTCACCAAACACCAAATCTGTTCACCTTGATCTGAGACGTCCCAGCCTCCAGAACTGTAAAGAAATAAACTTTCATAGTTTGTAAGCCACCTAGTCTATGTTATTTTGTTACAGCAACCCAAATGAACTAAGACAGCCAACTAGTAACTAAGGGCTAAATCTGAATCATCCCAAATCCTGTCTGAATTAAGGTGATCCACAATTGCTAATGCCCCCTAAAAATCTGCCAAATCAATCATAAATCTTTTCTTTTAGAAAATATCATCATCTAAGTTTTCAAATTATTTCAAAAATTTTTACATTCGAAGTCTGACAATCAATGAAAACTGACCAAGTATACAGGAAAAATGAAAATTGGGATTGAAAAACAAGAAAAATAACAGACAACAAAAACAGGTCAACAGAAGATCCAGAAAAATAAGTTATCAGACTGGGACTTAAAATATGCTTAATACGCTCAATAAAATAAAATGCAAGGTTGAGAATGTTAGTAGAGAACTAGAAACTGTTATGAAGAACCAAAGGGAAATTTTTTAACTGAAAAAAAATAACAACAACAACAACAAGAAACCCATAACAGGTAGATTTATCAGTAGATTATAAATGACCCTGGAAAGAGCTACAGAATTAGAAGACAAAAGTTAATATCTTGAGAAAAGCACAGAAAGCCAAAAGGATGCAGAACATAAGAAAGGAGGGAAAAGGATACAGTAAGAGGGTCTAACAATCTGTAATCGGATGTGCAAAAGGAAAGAAGAGAAAGGGACAAAAGCAATATTTGAAAGGTTAATGCCTGAGAATTTATTTGAAGAAAGATATCAAGATACAAACACCAAGCAGAATATATTTTAAAATATACATACACATACATATACACATATATGCAGAGTTGGGCACATCAAAGCAAAACTACAGGAAAAAAAGATGAAAGAGAAGATATTAAAAGAAGCCAGTGGAAAATGACAGAATATCTTTAATGAAATAACAATAAAATTGAAAGATTTCTCAACAAAAACTTAGGGAATGAAAAGACAATGGGATAGTATTTTCTAAGGGCTAGGAGGCAATAATCCCAAGTTCAGCAAAACTACCCTTCAAAAATTAAGATAAAGATATTTTCAAATAAATAAAAATCAAGATAATCCATCACCAAAAGACCACTGAGAAAGGAACTGTGAAAGAACTTTCTTCAGAAAAAAGCAATAAACTAAGAAAGAAGCTCAAAAATGAAAGGAAATAAAGAACAACCAAAAAGGTAAAATATGGTTGTAAAGTAGGGTTTGATAAGTGAAGCATGCATTCTGCAACCTCTATGGTAACCACTGAAAAAAACAAAACAGTAAAGAACATGCACCTCCAAGATAATCAAGGAGTAGAAATGAAAGAGCAAAAAATAGAAGAAAAAAAGAACAATAATATTCAATAATCAGAATAAAAAGTAAATAGTACTATGGTAGATTTAAACCAAAATATATCAGTAAATACATTTTTTATGTAAACTTTTTATTTTGAGATGAGGATTCACATGCAGTAAGAAGCAAGACAGAGAGACTGCATATACTTTTTACCCATTTTCCCCCAATGCAAAAATATATCATAGACCCTCCTTATCTGTGAGGGATATGTTCCAAGACCCCCAGTGGGTGCCTGTAATCATGGACAGCACTGATCCCTATATTTACTGTTTTTTCCTATATATACATAACTATGATAAAGTTTAATTTATAAATAAGGTATAGTAAGAGATTAACAATAATAATAAAGTAGAAAATTATAACATACTGTAATAAAAGTTATGTGAATGTGGTCTTTCTCCCTCTCTCAAAATATCTTATT